TTTCCTGGCATTGGGGATTTGGATCCTTTTCCATATAAAAATCCCTCTTTTTTTTTTTTTTCCAAATCTGGGAATGTTCCAGAAGGAATTTTACAAAATTTTTTTCCCCTTCCCTTGCCTCAGTTTCCCCTCTGGCAAAATCTCTCTCGTTTTCTGGGATTGGGATCATTTTCCCATTAAAAGGAGCGAAAAATTCCAAAATTTGGGAATGCTCAGGAGGGAATTTTCCTCATTTTTTGGAGGGGAAAAGAGGCGGATTCAGGAATTCCCTCCATTTTCCCGTGCCTCAGTTTCCCTCTGGAAAATCCCTCCCATTTCCCAGGATTTGGATCCTTTTCCATATAAAAATCCCATTTTTTCCCCCCCAATCTGGGAATGTTCCAGAAGGAATTTCCCCATTTTTTTTTCCCTCCCGTGCCTCAGTTTCCCTCTGGAAAATTCCCTCCCATTATCTGGGATTGGGATCATTTTTCCATTAAAAATCCCATTTTTCCCTAAATCTGGGAATGCTCAGGAGGGAATTTTTCCCAAATTTTGGAGGGGAAAAGAGGCGGATCCAGTCCTGTGCCTCAGTTTCCCTCTGGAAAAACGGGAATTTTACAGGAAATTGTAAGAAAATTATCCCAATCCCGGGAAATGCAAAGGAAAAAAAAAACAAGGAAAAATTCCTTCCTGGATATTCCCAGTCCTGGAAAATTCTGTGACTCAGTTTCCCTCTGGAAAATCTCTCTCGTTTTCATGGATTGGGATCATTTTCCCATTAAAAACCCATTTTTTTCCCAAATCTGGGAATGTCCCAGAAGGAATTTCCCCATATTTATTTCCTTTCCCGTGCCTCAGTTTCCCTCTGGAAAATCCCTCCCATTTCCCAGGATTTGGATCCTTTTCCATATAAAAATCCCATTTTTTTCCCCAAATCTGGGAATGTTCGGGAGGGAATTTTCCCCAAATTTTGGAGGGGAAAAGAGGCGGATCCAGGGATCCCCTTCCCTTTCCCGTGCCTCAGTTTCCCTATGGAAAAACGGGAATTTTACAGGGAATTATTGGAAATTTATCCCAATCCCGGGAAACGGGAGGGATTTCCCAGAGGGAAACTGAGGCACGGGAAAAGGAAGGNTGATCCATGGAATTTTTGGGAATGGCTGGAATGGGATTGGGAATTTTGAGAGGAGGGTTTTAATTCCTGGAATTTTTTGGAATTTCTGGAATGGGATTGGGAATGGTGGGAGGGATCTGATCCAGGGAATTCTTGGGAATGGCTGGAATGGGATCAGGAATGTTGAGGGGAAGGCCCAACCCATCCCGGAATGGCTGGAATGGGATCAGGAATGTTGAGGGGAAGGCCCAACCCATCCCAGAATTCCAGGATTTTTTGGAATTCCAGGCCTTGTCCCACCTCCCATCCCCCAATTCCAGCACGAATCCAAGGAATTCCTGTTTCTTTCAGAAGGAAAAAAAAATGAAGGATTTCTGATTTCTGGGATTTTCTGGGATTTCTGGGATTTTCTGGGATTTTCTGGGATTTCTGGGATTTCTGTTTTCTGGGATTTCTGTTTTCTGGGATTTCTGGGGTTTCTGTTTTCTGGGATTTCTGGGATTTCTGGGATTTCTGGGATTTCTGGGACTTCTGTTTTCTGGGATTTCTGGGATTTTCTGGGATTTCTGTTTTCTGGGATTTTGGGGATTTCTGGGATTCTTTTTCCCGAGCTGCTGGGAAAGGATGGAAATATCCAACCCTGGAGCTCTTTTGGGAATTTCAAGGAGATGGGAAGAACATCCCGCCAAAAAAAACCCCAAAAAAACCCCGGGAATAACAAATCAACTGTGGAAAAAAATTCCAGGAATTTGGGAAGTCCAAAATCCCGGACACGGAAATCGAGATGATGCAAAAATCCCAGGATTTGGGGTGATCCAATCCCATGGAATTTCTGTGTCCGGGGGAGGATTTATCTGGAATTTTTATTTATTTTTTGGGAAAAGATTCCAGGTCCAGAGGGTGTCGGGATCCGGAAGAGCTTCCCAGGGAATGGCGACGTTCCCAAAATTCCCGGAGCTCTGGGAATGTTTGGAAAACGATCCCAAAAGAAAAAAAGTGGGAATTTTGGGATGAATATTCCACGATTTCCATCTCCTGGTCAAGATCTCCCTCTGTGCCCATTCCCAGAAATGTTGGAATTCTGGGAATCGGAATAATTCCCAAAAATCACCATTCCCAATCCCAAATATCCAAAAATTCCCAAATTTCCCCTTCCCCAAATTCCCAGGACCGGGCACTTCCACGGGAAAAAAAAAAAATTCTGCTGCAAGAATTTTATTGGAGGAAAAAAAAAAAAATTCCAGGAATTCCTGGGATGAAATTCCGCGCTTTTCCCCAGGGAAAAAATTTCGGAGCTGGATCAGAGCAAATCCCTGTCCGAGGAATTCCGGGATTTTTCCAAGGATTTTTTTTTTTTTTTTTTTTCTTCTTTTTTTTCCCCCCCAGTTTTCAGAAGAAGACTTTTTCCAGGTAGGAGTTGAGGAACATTCCCGTGGGATCCAGCTTCTCCCGGATGGCGCAGAATTTCGGGAATTCCGGATACATCCGCTCCAAATCCTTCCGGGTGCAGCTGTGGGCCTGCAGTGGGATGGTTTTCCATGGAAAAAAAAAAAAAA